AGTGCGAGCGCAACGCGGACGTTGACCACATGCGCTCAATGGGTTCGTGCACTTTAAATGCCGGTAGATCGCACCCGGTATCGTCGAGCCAGCGCGTATCGGGATATCAGGATGCACGTTACGTTGGAATGTCGGAAACGGATAATTCCGTAGATTAGAGCGCGTTTAGGTGCGAGGCTTATGTGCCCTTTAAGCCTCGGCATCCTCGTAACGTCCGGCGCAACGCGATTAGCTATCATCGAGGCGAGAAAGTTCCGCTGCGGAAAAAGATACGCGGTTCACACTAAATTATGACTCATAAAGCTATAACGATAAGTGAATCGAGTCGATTTACGCGCAGCTACACCGAAGCAGGGCACATGTCATAAAACAATATTTTAAAAACGTTTATATTTTTCACAAGTGTTATAATGCTATAAGTAAGAATATTTATAGCGAAAAAAAATATTAAATAAATATTGTGGTACTTTTCAATATATTAGAAAAGGATAGAAAGAGAGAGAGAGAGAGAGAGAGAGAGAGAGAGAGAGAGAGAGAACAATTATGTATAAAGAAAAAAAATGTAATACATCTGACGTCATCTTTTTTGATAAATTATATAAGAACTAAAAAAGTTGGTAATTCTATATAATATTTGTTACTAATTTATGCATGATTATGAGAAAGAAAATAATTGCGATTCTACAATGTATTCGAGGATGCAGCAGCGATAATATTCAGCGTATCGTATCGCGGTCGAAACGCGAGATGTGCGCCTGCGAATTTATGCCACTTCCCCCTATGGTATTAAATACGCTAAGCGTAATATCGCGGTTAGATATCGCAAAAGAGGAATGCAGGGATAATTGGAAAGATAACGCCGTGAATGTACGATGCATTATGTATTTTACTGGCACGGCCGAGGCCTTACCTTAGCAACGAATTATCGGCTGTTTGTTCTAATACCCGTTGCACGTCTCTCAGATAGGTGAGATAGTCAGAATCTGGGTCCTCTCTCTCACGAGGAACATGAGAGCCTGGCTGGTTCCTCGGTAATTTAAGAGCTTTAGCAACTCGAACGTTTACGAGCTTGGGAACAGGATAGATATCAAGCACCTCGAAAGAGATCAAATTCAGAAACGTGAAAATTTGGAACCTGGAGAAAACTGGAAGCCTGATCTTGCAAACGTGACAGCACTAAAGTTACGAAACTTGAGAAGAAAATTTAAAAATTGGAATTTAATTAAAATAAATTGACGTTTGAAATTTAGAGACATAGAACGTGCAGGTAAACGTCCGTACAATCATATTCCAATGTAAAAAGTTAAAAAGTTTTTTTTTATAGTCGCACGACAGTCGACAGCTTTCGGATTTACTGAAGTTGAACGTGAGTTATAGTCGACGCAACCTGATAACAAAAATGTCGAGATGAAAACGATATGTTGCTCGTAAATGTTGCAGCCGTGATAAACAGCGCGTTGTCCAGGATTGATTGATCCCGGCGCGCGCGCGAGTTTCGCGGAGATTTGCCGGGAGTAAAAGGGGGACCGACTTAAAAGTCTCGTTCACAATGGGACCTCACGCGTTGAACGTGATATATTGGTACAGAAGAGTTAGAGAAGTGTCCGCTGATAGTGTATTTAATGATCCGCTTCTTCTACATCGACTTCCTGCACCACTGCCACACTGATCCACATCGATATCGATCTTCCTAGATCCTGTTCCCCAACGACATTCCTCGCCATAGTTTTCTTGCTAAACACTAACTAAATTCGAAATATTTTTATTTACTTCAAATATCGAGTTCAGCAAGAACTGAAGATTATACAAAAATCTCAAAATATCGCATCTAAAACTTTTCAAAAATCAAAAACTTTGAGGAACAAAAATCGCAGGAGCCACCTATATCTATGTATAAATATTAGTAGTGCATTTTTTTATCTTTATAAATATAAACCTAATATTGCCAAAATATTTTTATATTTAAATATAAAGTCTGTGTCGAAATATTTTCAAGATTATAACAATGTTAGCAGGCGGAGAGGCGTTTAAAACGTAATTTTATACACGTACGTACAAATCGCCGACATCGCTTCCTGTTCCAGATTATTTATTGTATCCAGGCTAACGGTACATGCATCTTTACGCGTTTCACGTACAAGGTTCTCTAAATGGACATGCATTGTTTGCGAGTCGTGTAGTGTCGGTTAATGGTGCAGTCGTATCTAAGAGAGATAATTTAAATATTGAAATTATCGCGAGTAAAATTTAAAGCTTGAGTCGCGAACCTGAAAAGGAATAATGCTAAAAATTGAATATTTCAGAAATAATAAAACATAAAACTTTTAAAATTCTCATTAATATGAAAATCTATTAGAACTTGATTGCCTGAACATAAAAACTTGAAAGATCCTGTCATGGATTAAAAAAATAAAAAAATTTTAAAGTTCCAAAATTGTGGAGTAATCTGATAACGTGAAAATCTATAGGAAGTAAGGAATATAAATATATATATCAATTCATTCAATGAAATGTATAATTCGAAGAATCGCGTCTAGCCTGCCGTCCTGCGGATCACGGTTCGCGGCCTTTTAAGCGACAGGTGCAAACATTCAGGGAGCAGCGCAAAAAAGGAAGCCGGTAATTGTAAGCCCCGGGTAGAAAAACCAGTTTGCTAAAAACAACCCGGGCCTGATCAAGTCTCGTTGCGGGGCTACCGAATAACCAACGGGTGTCGGTGTAGCAATGTGCGTGTGAGGAGCTCGTGAGAAGAGCTCGACTTTTGGAAATCCGCTTTAAAATGTCTCTTAAAACCTGCATCCTGCGGAAATTATGCGTCTCGCCTCCCAGGAGAAGAGGCCTCAAATGCATTCGAGATATTTTGAGTTGAGCGACAAATTATATTAGAATTATCAGTATAAATCACTTTTATGCGTTATAAGAAAAATAAATAAACCTTAACATTTTTATTGTGTCTCTCTGATATGACAACTAAAATATAAATTAATGAGAATGTGGTTAAAGTTATTCGAACGTTGAAAATCTGTTCTTTAGTATGACGTTGACGTTTAATTCTAACGTAATAAATGCACGCAGTCATTCTGCCACATTGAAAAGGCGCCACAGAGTCGCAATACTTGAACTTAAGCAGGAAATACTTTCTATGAATGAACTTTCTCACCGCTCATCGAGGGAAAGATACAGTTAAATGCCAAAACGAACCGAAACCGGAGACCCGCAAAAAAAAATTGCAACTTATTTATTCTCTCGCCGCGTAAAGCTACCTTCCGTACTGTTATCAAATTACAAGGAAAGTCTGTCTCGTTTCAATAATATAACAGTTTATCTTCTTGGATACTTTTAAATGACTTAAAGCTTGAGATCGTAAAAAAAAATTTAGAGACTTTAAATTCTTAGACAATCAGAGATTTTCGAATTCTGAAGATTTCGTGTCCTAAAATCGCATTTGAAGCTAAAAAAACGATCACATCACAATGCCGGGATTGTCTAGTTTAGAAATTTCGCGTGTCTTTGAACTTTTAAAACCTAAACTCTTTAACTTTACAGAATATAAATGGAAAACTTCAAGAATCGTAGATCAATATATCATTACGCAAATTTCCGTTGTGTTTACGTTCGTGTCGAACAACAATGATTTCAGTGAAAAAGGAGAACAATGCCTTATTCGACATGCTATAAGCGACCTCGCTGGAATTCCAACAAGCTCTCTGGTCGCGACAGGTGAAGCCGCGTGTTGTTCGTGCAATCGCAGTCGCATTCGCAGTCCCCTTAGAATTTAAAGACGTTCGTTATTCAATTCAAATACACTAACGGGCCAGCTCGCAGGATTTCCGCCTCAGCGCGACGTTCGTTGCTGTGTTCTAGACGAATTGGGTTAGGAAAGGTCAGGTAGAGACGATCGACCTGGAGCCGGTTGTCTGCGAGAAGAGGCTCGCAGTTAAGTATCATTTTTCAGAGAAAGTATCGTATGGAAAGTGTATGTGTCTCGAGTACACATAATATACGTTAAAAAGTAGAAAGCATTATACATATATTACAAAATACTATATATTCTAATTGTGAGAAACGCGTAAATATATTTTAAAATAAAATGCGAAATTAATCTGAATATATCAGAAACCAGTGTGTACTAAATATCAATATACATATATATTATAATTAGGTGAAAACACAATAGCTCTTAATGTTTGTTGAATTCTATGGCATTTTCATATGAAGTATAAAATTAAATTTATCTAGATCTCATAAAATAGCGATTTTTTGTGAATGGAACACGCGTGTCGAGTATTCAAAGTCGGCTCTACAGAAATATCGCCTTCGCGATTTGCGAGTCGCTCGTTATTTTGCCAGCGTATGATGGATGTGGGCCTTAAGGACTGCGGGAGCCCTATATTATATACGGAGGCCTTCGTTGAAAGAAGATATATTTAGACCGGGCCCTTGAAAGATCCTGCCTCGTCTTGGCACGTCGCGAGGCGAATTCATTTCGCAAGCGCACGCAGGACCTTTTCCTTGATCACAAGGATAAAAGATTCACGAAAGGACGCAGGATACCGTTGCATCGATGCATTATTTATTACCCTCGCGAGAGGAGAGCGCACGCAATCGAATGTGATTCAGATAAATAAATCGAACTGTTCAGCTCGCCATAAAGACGATTGCGCATGAAAATCTAGTAAGAAATGCACATTTTTATAATTTCGAGTACTGTAATTTATTTAACAGCGAGATGATATAATCTTGTAATGTAATTACAAGAAAGACTAGGATAATTTTTAGGATAGTTAACTTTTTAGATTAATTTTTTTATCCGAAATTTTTAAGACTCTAAAAAATAATTTTTAAGTTGCTCCCCTCACATTCCGTCAAAGAGTTCTTGTCACAATTTTATTCTCTGATATAATTAATATTGAAAACATATTATTTTGTTATAATATTAAATACGTATATTAAGATTTAACTTATTGATTAAATTAAATAGGACTGTTGTAAAAACTTACCTCGCACCTGGACGTGTCAAGTATCTCGACCTCCGTCGTGACATTATCGATGGTGACGCTGTGTCGATAGAGAAAATCTGCAACAAGTAGAAATTAATGTATTTAATTGATCATAATGTCTCTAGTTCGATTACTATCGCTCTAAGATCTCGTGTAACTCGCGAGATAAATCAAAAACAACGACAGACGAAGTAATCTTTCTTAATCGGCATCATTTCGAAGATACTCTTCGAGCTCTTTGAATATGTTTAAGCAACATTTTCTCAAGTATATAGAAAACGCAGCTAATGCGCGAAAGTGCCGTAGCAGTTAGTAACGACAATTCCAATTAGTTACGCCGACGCTCGCTGCTATGTTATTACGATCATTGACAATGACGCGTGGCTTTTGTTTGAAATTTGTGATCAAACAGATTCGAACAACCGCGTATTAAGATTTGCATTTTTCGATCGTTACACGCTTGAATTATTCGCCCACGTAAGGCAATCCTTGAAAATACCCACAAATGTTTATTACGTATTCGAATTACAATTTTGAATGTTCGCATTTCTATTATCTTCGATGTAATAAATTTCTGTACTTTTTCGTTTTTCATTAAAATCGAGGCCTTTCGGACTGTTGGACTTTTAATTTCTTGCGTTTCTAGAGTTTAACATATTCAAATATTTAAATTCTTGGACTTTGACATTCGTCGCGCCTCATATTTTTGAATACTGGAACTTTTAAATCTTCAGTTTACACTTTCGATAGAACGGATGAAAAAGGGAAAGCTCATATTTCTCGGAACTGATTAGAGCGCTCGAGAGGAGCACGTGCGCCTAAGGAGAAGAAGAAGGAGAGGAGACGCGGAAGTACGTCGAACACAGTAGCCCTGACAGGATAAGCACAATAAATAAACGATAAATAAACTCATAAACACCTCGTAGTGTCGACAGCGTGGAGTCGAAGAGGCGCAGAAACAAGCAAATAAGGATGCTCGTTATATTAGCGGCCGTTACGCTCGAGAAAGTTTTATTGCCGGACAATGCTGATGGAGGGACGAGTTGACCAAGCGTTGCGACGGAAAATTCACTGCATCCTCCATGTGCGCGAGAAACATCGGAGCGTGCGGAAAAACAAGCTTCCAAGACCGCGAGATGTAATTTGAACTCTGGATGCAAGACGCAAAGATTTCTTCTGCGCTTGTGGAAAGAAAATCGAGCGATCTAGATAAGCGGAGATAAGCTAAGGCTGAAGGATGAAATTTAACGAACGCCACGAACGGAATTATTTCCGAGTAAATAAAGTGGACGTATATATGCAGGAGTCGAGAAATCTAATTGTAGTCCCATCTAAATACAGGAACTATTTGCATATCGGACGACATGGAAAGTTGAATCTTTGATGAGAAACTTTGATAAAAGTACCAGATTTAATTTCTAAGAAAACGAAAGTATGAGGAGATACAATAAAAGCTGTAAGTTGACGAAAAATAAGAAGTAACCGTGACACACTTTCGTCGAGTGCAACTGGAAGTGTATATAACTGTCACCGATCGCGCGGATTCGGCTTCTGCCAGAGATCCATCTCCGATACGTGATCTATTGTCGATCTATTGGAGGAACGGAGGATGCACGATGCAATCTTCTCCGTGCACGGACAAAACGTTCCCATCCGTGCACGCGCATGACCAGAGAATCGACAATACAAACGAGACTCGCTTTCTAAATCATTGCC